AATGCTCCCTCTGCCACTGAAGATGGGTAATCGTGTACATTTTTTTGCTATGGGGACTCTTTCTTGGTTGCATGTTGGGAACAGATTTAAAAGCTAGGCTGTGTCACAATTACACACTCATAAGAGCAAGGATTATGGGTAAATAATTTTGTTTTGGCATAATAGGCATTTTATGGAGCACGGGGGGGCACCCATATTGTTGTTCAGAACCCAAAACCACCTCCTTAGGCAGGAAAATGTAATGGCCCCACACAGTTAACAAGTTTACTCAGAAATCTCTGTCCCTCCTCTCTGTGTCAGGAGCCAATGGTCTGGCTAACCCTCGAGATTTCTTAGTGCCAGTTGCCTGGTATGAAGATCGCCAAGTGCCAGGTGGTTATACAGTGATCAGCAAGTATCAGGGCAAGCTGTTTGCAGCCCATCAGGTAAGGAAATTTGAATCCTCTTTGGGGAGAATGGTCAGACTTGAAATACTGTTTGTTAGTGCTTGTGCATATTGTGGGATTCATGATTTATCAGCATGGCCAATCATATAACACCACTCTCGCTCACATCAATGGTCAAACTCCTACTGGTTGATATGGGAGCAGGAGCAAGCCCTTGGCTCATTAATGCATACTCCTCTGTCCCACTAAACTCTCTCTTCCTTAGTAAATATTTTAAAAGAACTGTTTGACTCTAGCTTCAGTGATTCTTCCCACACAGGTGCTGGCCTTTACCTCCCTGCTTCCAAGTGCTATTTTGTGGCATATGTAAAAAGGACTAGACAGGGACCTATAATTTCTAGCAGGCAGGGGTTCCCATTACAGAAAAATCATGGTCACAACTTGTTCTGTAGGGGCAGTCTCAGCAGAGATGCCAAGTTCAAAGACTGAACTTTCAGCTCTTCTCCAGAAATGGTTCTTCCAGTGTGTAGCTGAGGCTCATAAGCAGGGGGCAGCAAGAGGAAAGGTGTCCTGTTCTTTTACAAAATAGAGGGCTCTGGCCTCCATGCTCGCAATGTGCCACCTTTTACCAGCAACAAATCCATATTAAATACCGGAAGGTGTGATGCTTTGCTTCTTAGTAGCACATTACGGTGTTCCATATGTAATCCTTTACCTTTGTTCTTATTGGTTTTAATAGGATTTCTCCCCATTCAATGTCGTAGCCTGGCATGGGAACTACACACCATACAAGTACAATCTGGATAACTTCATGGTCATCAATTCTGTTGCTTTTGACCACACGGTAAGCTCTGGGGGTGTGCCTGGCAGAGCTATGCAACCTGGAATTGGAATTGAAAGTCAGGGAGAGCTGCGGGTGCTCAAAACTTGTGCACAATCAGATCACTTATTAGGTGTCTAACTATAGAAGTAGGAGAAAAACTGCAGGCACTGAAGTTTGAAAGTCCTAGCCTAAATGACTACTGCAGTGGCCCATACAGAGTCAGCTCTAGAGCTGGGAAGAGAACCCAGGAATCCTGACTCCCCATGCTTAACCCACAACTCCTTCCATTCATCTGCAGATCCAAGCCAGTCAAATTCAGCCTTACGCAATTGGGTGCGAGTCCATGCAGCAGTGAGCCAAATCAGGGCTGAGTAAAATATGGCAGGACCCATACAGAGTGCCCAGTTTTCCACACCAGGACAGCTTTGTAACACTGCCATTCCTTTGTCAAAACTGTTGGAAAAAGTGGTTCTGCCCTGTCCTGATAGCTGCTTTTTATTTTGCCCACTAAATACATAAAGGAGGGATAGAAGTCAGTTCTTTTGCATACCTGCTAAAATGATACGACTTCCGTTTTCCACTTCCTTTTTTTTCTGAAACACTTTACATGGAGCATGCAACTAGAACTTCGTATGTCACTACTGTGTGAGGACCATAACCTTTTTCCCATAACATCAAACTGTTATCAAATAGTTATTATTATTATTATACTATCATTATATTACTATTATGATTTAACATTTTCTGGTGTGGTGGCACCTGAAGTCTATAACTAGGTTAGGCCCCACTGATAGATGCTACACAGTCACATAGTAAATAAGAGTGGTATAGGTGGTGGAAGGCTGGGGCCAATGGGGCTTAGACTCCCCAAACTGGGCCAGCGACAGCAGCTCCAACACCACCACCACCTCAGTACCCCCGCCACATGCTCCTCCACCACCGTGCACACAGCACCAGTGCATGCCGGCCCCAGAACGGCCCTGTAAGAGGGAGGGGCAGAGTCAAGCAGGCATGCTCCACGCTGCCCAACTCCCCCAATTAATATTTTCTAGTGCCACTTACGGTCTGTGCCCCAGAGAAACTGCAGTCTACAGAGCACTATGTAACAGGGGGATGAGACAAATAGCAGGTGGGACCAGGTTGGCTTCAGTGGGTCTGACTTTGTAGTCCCAACAGGCAGGGAAGGGGAACAGGAGTGGATCAATCACATGAACTGATGAGATAATAGTCCTGCCACATCCAGTCATCATTAATTCTATCCTCATGAGCTGCTAAACCCTCCTGTTCACTTCCTGCTGGCACAGAGGGAGTTTTACTCTTGTGAACTACAGCATTCTAGGTAACCATCATGAAATTAATACTGTGCGTTTAAAACTGACTAAATTGACTCTTGACCAAGAGTATAATTTTCTGTTGATTATAAAGCTCTGCAGATGATCACTAACCACTCAGTAGAGCAGCCCTACTGCACCAGAAAGTCACTGCAAGTATTAAATGTCCCTGTTTTCCTATCAGATATTATGTGGACTCACCCCCCACCGCCCCTTTCTCATACCAGGCCCAAGTCAGCTCTAGCATAGAAGGGCAGCCTCGGAAGTGTGGTACCTGCTCTCTCACACAACTGCATGTGACCCTATTTGCTAACAACAGGTTTATGCAGCCCAATGGGGCATCCGTGTGCTGAAGATTGGAGCCAACACCCACTTGGCTACTCAGAGAAGGGAATTTTGCCCCAAAGTCTCATCCTGAGTCACCTCTCATAATGAGAAAATGACACAGTACACTCCCCCCCTTCGTCCTCCTCAGCCTGAAGCTAGGAACATATTTGAAGAGCTGGCAGGTTTGGTGGCAACAGCTTTCAATGCTTATGGAAAGCAAGAAAAGCCAAAATTGGTGGGAGCAGCTTTTCTAATAAGAAAACCAGCCCAGTGGGACAGGTGCACTCAGCTAGACTCTCTCTTGGCGCTGCTCTGTGAGCGGATGCACAGGGAGATTGGAACGGGTTTAGCCAGACAACCAGCAGAAAACCTTTTCCCTTCTCCAGTAAAGCATGCCAGGGGGAAGGATGGTGTGGGGAGGAAAGTTCAGGCAGTCATCCTGCTGCATCCCAGTACCAGCATTTGGCAATCTTTCTGTGCCTCATTTTCCTTGATGGTTAAAAGGTGAGAGGCAATCATTACTCACCCCAGGAAGGGCTGGAAGGTTATATTCCTAGCCTGTTGATTGTCACTGTCCTGCACAGAAGCAGAGCAGTGCGTGGGGAGCCTGCTGGGCTGGACTTCTAGGGTGCCTTGTTGTGTGGCCTAAACAGACCCCTTCCCTCTCCAGCTCTGCTTTTCTCCCCAGAGAGGAGAACAGCATCACTGCCCTACCAGTGGGTTACTGATTTGTGTCACAAATGTGGCAAGAGGTCCTCAGACCTGAGAAGGCACAGAAGGGCAAAGGCCAATTGTTACTGCAAGCGAGCACAGGTCTCGACACACAGACCCTTCGCGCCTTCCATCACAAGCATCTTCTGCTGCCTAAGCACCCATCAGACTCCCAGAAGACTCCTAATTGTACCTAGCCTGACTTTCCTGTCAGCACCAACCCTCCAGTCCTGCCACCCCCTTTGTCTCCATGCTGGACACAGTGCCCTCAGAAACCAGGGTTGGGAGATCCCTCCATTTCTGCTTCCCCTACCCCCTCTCAGCTTCACCTTTTTCTATCTAGTGTCATTACTGACAGGACAGCTCAAAGGAGGAGATGGGCAGCACATGAAAGGGGCAGAGCCAAAGGGTCTCCCCTGAATCCAGCCAGCACTGTGGGGCAAGAGGAGGAAGCGTTGCAAGGCACTGGACTCAGGACATGCCCTGCTCCTCTCCTGGGTCAGGAGCCAGCAAAGGGGGAAGCAGGACCAGGGCACAGTGGGGAGTTAGGGGATAACGTACTTGCCTCTGGAGCTAGGGCCCTTCAAGGCCAGACAAATGAGGAAACAGCCAGGCCCATCTCCTTCCCCCAGCCCCCCGAACAGGCAGCTGTTATCAGCACCTGGGGCTGCCGCCATGGTCACCTGCCCTAGTTATGCTAACAGGTGGTCTCACACCCACTCCAAACCCCCCTCAGCATCCACACATCAGGTGGAAAAATGTGAGTGGGAAAGCAACTAACCTAGCAGGCCTCAGTCAGTTGGGCTGACAGGCCTGAACATGGCTATATTTTCTGATCTGTCTGTCTGTCTGTCTGTGGTTTTTTTTGTAGGACCCTTCCATTTTCACTGTCCTGACAGCCAAGTCCACCCGTCCAGGAGTGGCTCTTGCTGACTTCGTCATCTTCCCGCCTCGATGGGGGGTGGCCAACCACACCTTCCGGCCACCCTACTACCACAGTATGCCTCCTGTTGACTCAACTACCCTTGAGAAGGGGGTCCCTGGGGGAGCCACAGAGCAAGCTTGCTGTCCTCCATAGCAGTGCCAGAACAAAGCACAGTTTACCCATAGACTCTGGCCCAGCTAACATGGGGCACTTGCAGCCCTTGGAGAAACAAATGAAAGAAAAGTGCTTCCTTTTACAGCAGCTAGGAGCAGCAGCTTGTGGCTGTACACATACAGTATTGGAGAATCCCAACCAAATTTGGGTCCCCATTGTGCCAGGGACCATACAAACATGTAGTAAGAGGTGGTCCCTGCCCTGAATTGCTTATCATTTCATCACAAAGGAGAGACAGAGGGCATGAGAGAGTATTGCTATCCCCATTTTACAGATGGGGAAACTGAGGTGCAGAGCGTCATGTGACTTGCTCAAGCTCACACCTGGAGTCTATATCAGAACTGGGGACTGAGCTCACGTCTGCTAAATGTCATAGCCACAAAACCATCCTTCTTCTTCACTGCATTGTATTCAGATGAACAGTGCTGTTACTGTTACCCCAATGGTCTTTGGAGAGAACAAAGCCAGAGATTAGCTACTCTTGTTCCCAGTGGACAGACAATTACACTGCAAAAGCCCCAAATCCTTACTGGCTGTCCCTGAGCAAGAGCTGAGGACTCAAAGGACCATACAGATTCAATCCCCCTCAGACCCCAAACAGATAACTCTCCAGCCCATGGGTGAGACATTGACAAAGCTCCATGTGGGGAAGGCTTGTCTCACTGCCACCTAAGCAGTGCTTCTCCTCTAGATAAATAAGAGGCCTCAGTCTCCACAGCTGCACCTTTCATGGTGCTACAGCCATGGTGTTTAATGTGGAAGCATTCAACGTTGTTTAATAAGCAATTCCCTTTGTTACTGGACAGAGCTTTGAGGAGGCGTGTGGTATTATTTCTGAAACTTGGTCCCTTGACAGCACAGTGGGCAGCTGTGCAGCCATCTGAATCAATCCTAGAAGCAAGCACTTGGCCCGCTAGCCTGCTCTCATTTGAAATAATGAAAAGTGAAGTGAAAACATCCACAGACCAATTAAGCCAGTGCCAGGTCACTGCAAGTGCCTTTGTTAAACACTAAATTCATACTGACAGGGTTGTTTTTCACCTGTGGGATGGTAGGGTCTAAACTGCTGGACCAAACACACTGCACTGGCTCTGAGAGGGTCTGGGTTTGCAGAGTGCTGAGTGCCTCAGGGCCTGCTGAAATCTGTGAAGCAGTAAGAGCTCTGCACTGTGCTGGAGGGGTAATGGGGCTGAGCAAGTCTGGGACATGAGTAGCCAAACTCTGAACCACTTATGCTTTCTCATATATTTTACGCAACATCTAGTCCTTTATCCACAGCACCATCATCTCCTGCTCTTGCATTCTGCATTCAGAGAATGTTGTGTTGCACAGTTCAGTTTTCCACACAAGCTTACCTGATCCCATATATGAATGCAGATGCAATTGTTAAGTGCATGGGTTAAGGTTATTTGTCTTGAAGATACTTATTTGACCTTCATATCTGCTGTGTCCAAATACTTGACAATCACTGAACTGATTTTCTCCTCACAGCATTTCAGTCAAGTGAACCATTGCTATTATCTCCATTCTACAGATGGGGACTGAAGTATATGGTAGATTAAGTAACTTGCCCAAGATCACACAGAAAATTTGTGTCTGAACCAGGCATGGAATCTGGGTCATCTCTCAAGTCCCACCCAGTATAGTGTTTCATTAGCTAGACCAGAGGCTGGTCAACCTACACCACAAGCACAACAAGTAGCACAGGCAGGCTCTGTGTGTGGGACACAGCAGATAAAGGAGGGGAGAGGCAGCACAGCAGCAGATAGGGCAGGAATCAGAAAGAAGAGCAGGAGATCAAGCAGGGAGCACAGGGCGGGAAGCAGAAAACACAGGAAGAGACTGGGCAGGGAGCAGTGAATAGACCAGCAGATTGGACAAAAGAAGAGTATCAGATTGGCACTCAGGAGGGCATGTCTACACACATCTTCTGCAGAGCTAAGTAGTTCCATAATAAAGTCTCAGCATCTACATGTGTGCCCCTATTACAGCACAGTAAACTAATAAACACTGCCATAGGATAATACATGTTAACATAAGTACTATCCTATGGTGCTGTTATTTATCTACATGTGTAGATGCTGTCAGGGCTGGCTTGGGCACGAGGATGCCAGCTAGCCCCACACAGAAGCACCCTTGTGCCTCAGCCACAGCACGTTGACCTGGGTCAGAGCAGCCCTGGGCTTGGAGGCTGACTCCTTGGGTCCCTTGTCAGCTGGGGTTGCTCCAACCTGGCTCAATGTTTTGCAGTCCTGGGCACATGTGCAACTGGTGTGCCCAGGAGCAATAAACTCCAGCATGAACTGTTTATTCATTTGCATTAATTGCACATGTAGACATGCCCAAGGAGAGTTAGTCTGTGCCAAGTCTGCCAAAAAGATTGGCTCCTGCCACTGAACTAGACCACCCTTCCTACAGCATGCTATAAATATTACAATATATTTTTACAGCTGCAGATGCATTACGTGCAAGGACTTCAAGTTCTGTGTACTACTTTGTGCATCCCTGACACAATCCATAAGCCATTTTTATGAAAAATTCACAATGATCCATTCTTATGCAAGATGCTGAAGCTCAAGGATGAGTAATAATGAACATTTGCTTGCATATATAGGCCAGCTATATTTTTAGCTAATGAATGGCATTCAAGAAAGGATGAGCTTCTGCTTAAAATGAATTGGATAGAACACAGCTACAGCAATTTGGCTTGATAATGCAAAAACCCCCCACTTATCATCAGGTATAATGCTGACATAATGCTTGGTCAAGTCAGGTCTGCTGAGACAAGTAGGTATTACACATGGTAATTGTTTGTGGGGTTGGGGACCAAAGTTATTAAAATACCTACCTCAGAGAGAATCTCTCTTAATAATAACTCCAGGGCTAGACTGAACCGCTGTCAAGTTATATGAGGGGTATCCTACTCTATCACACCTTACTCTACCAGTTTCATTAGGACTACTCAATCTACTGCTTCTCATGAGTACAGTTCACAGAATATAATCCCCAGTCACTAGAGAGAAACTGGGTAATTTATGTCCAAGAAGAAACCATGAGCATAAAAGAATCAAGCAACAGTCCCAGACTGGAGGTTTTAGAAACATGCAGAGCAATATGCCTTGGCGCTTTGGACACTGGAATCAGACTGAAGTAGGTCTGAATAGACCTGGGTTCTAGTCCAGCTCTGTCAATCATGTGCTGGGTGATTTTGGGGAAATTCCTTCCTTTTTTGCCTCATTGTACCCAACTGCCATAGGATAATATTGGGCCAATAATACTGACCCTTTTTATATAGTGATTTGAGATCTACAGTGTGTATAAATGTCAAGCCATGTTATAAGCTTGTCTATGTACAATTTTACTACCAATACAATGGAGGTAGTGCAAGGCCCTCGAGTCAACCCGATTATATTGGTATAAAGCGACTATAATGGCATGCAATAGAAATACCCCTTTTATTGGCTTAACTAGGAGGGGAGTGTTAACTACCATAACAACCCGTTTGTGAATCCACATAATTATGCTGGTAAAAAAGTGTGTGTAGACCTGCCTTCCACCTACCCACCAACTGGTTCACCATTACTACTTGCTTAGAGGTCTCAGGTCCAAATGCTGACCAGATCCAGCTCAACTTAAATAGTGAGCTTAGCTGGTCTCACAGCCAAGTTATGATGGCTTGGCTTGGCAACCATCTAACTTGCAACTATTTTCACAGGAAACTGCATGAGTGAGTTCATGGGGCTCATCAAAGGGCATTATGAGGCCAAGGAAGAAGGGTTCCAGCCAGGAGGTGGCAGTCTGCACAGCATGATGACCCCCCATGGGCCAGACTCCGAGTGTTTCGAGAAGGCAAGCAAAGCCAAGCTGGAGCCTGAGAGAGTAGCAGATGGGACCATGGTAAGAGCCTTATAGAGGAAAAAGGCTTTCACAGCCAGGGAGCAGTGATATAAAACATTCACAGTTCCTGGCTTTCGTGTTGGACATGTGTTTGGGGCCATTGTTGCAAAGCTACCCCACCCCAAAGATGGATTTTTAGAGACACTTTAGTGTCCCCGAGTTCCCCGCTGGGACTCTGTACCCTGAGCATTTGGTTAACAATATGGACACTTCATCTGATGCCAGCTGAGGTCAGGCTGTTTTTTAATTAATATGGTCTTCAACACGAGGACAAGTGAAGGGGCACCCCACAATGCCTCCGACTGATCCAGAAATAACAACTAGCTCTAAAGAATGGGAGCCTATCAAGGCCTTTCCTTGGGTTTTTGGGACAACCCTGGTTTTCCAGGAAGTTCACAGGGACCTGCCAAAAGACAGTCATGCAGTGGTGCATCTCAGCAGTTTTTAGTGATCTCAGCCTTCTTCTCCGAGTGAGCAGGTGGGAGCAAGGCTCTCTTCAGTGGCCAG